CAGGCAAAATCAGTTTCCTTTAATTATTAACAAAAGTCAATTTGATCTTGAAAAAAAAAACACACTCACACACATGTATACACACATGCATGAATGTATACATACATGTATATACACACAAACAGATACAAATGAACCCACACAAACATATACATACACATAGATACACACATGCATACATATACATGCATGCATAATATATAGATACATAATACACACATAGGCACATGTATATACATACATATGTACATGCATACACACAAACACATATATACATGCTCACATATACATACACGTATATATATATGTATGTATGTATATATATATATACATACATATATATATACATATTCATATACATATACACACATGCACAGATACACATAAAGATATACACAATCACACCATACAGACACACATACATATATATACAAACACACACACACATGTTCATATACATAGACATATATATGCACACATATATACATATAAATATATGCACAAATAAACACATACATATATGTATACACACAAACATACATATGAATAACTATCATACATATGTACAGACAAATGTACACATACACACATCTACATATGTATTCATACACAAGTATACACATACATTCACACATATACACATGTACACATATATACAAACAAACATACACACTGTACACACAAAGAAATACATATATATATACACATGTGTTCATACAAACATACACCCACATAAATAAACACATATACAAAATACACACATGTATACAGACATCCACACAAATATTTTATACACACAAATATATATATCTACATGCAAACATATACATTATATACACACATGCACACATATAGAAACACATACACGCATGCACACATACATTTACACATGCAAATATATACATACTCATATGCACACATAAACATACACACATACATACATACATACATACATATACAGCATACACAAACACACAATCATATACTTCTATACACACAAAACATATATACAAATATATACACATATACCCATATCCACATACACACATACATAGGCACATATAGATCCTCACAAACATACAAAAACACATAAAAATAGCTATACACATACACACAAACATACATATAATCACCCATATAAACACAGAGACACAGAAATATACTTGTGAGCACACACACACACACACACACACACACACACACACTTCTATCTAAAAGAGTAGTTACAGGTTGAAATCAATGTTGGATTTTTGTCTTTTCAAATGGGAACCTGGCCAGGCTCCTGAGTACTTCTATATTATTTATGGTGTGACAGCCCCTATGTATTACCTAGGGCATACTGCTACCCTTGATGATGGACTCACTTTGCACAACGTTGAACAAAGGTTTGCAAGCCACCTTCTTCCATAGAGCAGAGAATGTAATACAGGCAAAGGCCAATCCCTCATTCTTTACTTATTTGAATTATCATTTTGTGTGGTTGTGTCTAAAAGCTACTTACAAAGATACAGATCTTGATGGTTTTAGGTCTTTTTCTTAAAGTACTATAGTTCATGCTTTGCAATAATTCTAATCCATCTGGATTTATTTGTGAGTAAGCTGTGAAATTTAGGTTGACATTCATTTTGTTTTCTCTGATAATGCAATTTATGCTTCTTGCCAACTAATTGAAACATTTGAACTTGCTCAGACTGCATTACAATACATTAAATGATGAAATGCATCTATAATTTGAACGTATACTAGTATGTATTGATGAATGATCAATTAAAATGCAGTACATATACAGAATGGACTTACATTCAGATATCATGAAAAAAAATTGAAAGGTGATGGCCTCAAGGTCCCCTAGTTGTGTTAAAGTTGCAGGTAGAATCCCAAAATACTCACTTCAGAGTTCGCACCTCTCTATGGAGGGTTGACTCCTGTGGCTCTATGCCCTCAGTGCCCATATCTGAGTGTGGATATAAGACTCCATGTAAGCTTTATCTACTAAAACCTCCAGAGATGATGCTTATGTACTTTGCTCTAGGCTTCTTCAGGAATGATTGGTTCCCACAGCCTTACTAGAGGTTTTTTGTAAGTTCTAGTATGCATTTGGACGACACAGCCCATGACATTTGCTGCATTAGGGTGAGCAGGCAGGAAAACCCTATAGGCTATCACTATATCTTGCATGTTATGACTAGTAGTTGGAAACCAACCCCAGGAGTTCCCATCTCCTAATACAACCACATCAATGTGTTAGCTTTCTGCCTCTGTGACAAAACACTTGAGAAAATCGACATACAAGGAAGAAAGGTTTATTTTAGGTCCCATTTTCAGAGGTTTCAATCTGTTAGCTACACTAGTTTTGGGTACTAAGTTGAGGTGGTCCTTGATGTGGAGGACACATTAAAGAAAGGTGGTTTGAGTCATGGAAACTGGCAGATAAGGTGAAAGGCATCACTCCCAAGATCCTCATGTCATTTTCAGTAACATGGCCCCAGAGACATCCCCAACTTACTTTACTAAGCCATATCTTCTAAATGTTCTACTACTTGCCAAAAATGCCACAGGATGATGAGCAAGCCTCAACACATGGCCCTTGGGGAGTGGGGTTGTCAATCAAGATCCAAATTGCAGGAGTCGTCTTTCTGTAGTGAAGGAAACTGTAATACCTAGAATATGACTGTTGGCTGCTAACCTAATGGTTGGAAAACTGGACCATAAACAGTATAGTAACAAGATAGATCGTAAGATAGAGGAGTGGAGGCATGAAACAGAGAGAGCTTTAGGGAGAAGAGGAGAGAAGGAAGAAAAGGGGAAGAGGAAGCCAGGAAAACCTGTAGAGATAGTGGTGTACATGTGCCACTTCCTAGATGGTTTCCAAATGAAGTTGAGTCCCACTGTTGGGATGTTCTACATTGTCAAGCTGATGTGACTAAGATGGACACATACATTCCAAACCCAGGAGTCATTGATGTGGTTGTATTAGGATGATGGGAACTCCCGGGGTTGGTTTGGCGGTAGAGGCTCTTATATCATGCACGGGACTAAGGCTTTCACAAAGGAAGCTGTTCGTGGTTTCAGTTGACTTGTTGCCATCTTCTGCCTATGAAAATACAACATTTCCTTTATCTGATGTTGTCTCAGCAAGATACCATCTGAGACTCAGAGAGAAGCCCTCACCAGTCATTAGAACCTACCAGTACTTTCAGTACTTTTCACACTTAAACCCCTATAACTGTTACAAAGTAAATTTCACTTCTTTTAAAATCATCCAGCTTTCAGGTATTATGTTATAGTCTGACACATGGACTGAGACAATGGTTGCAGTTAGGATTTTCACACTGATAAGCACCAATGGAAGTCTTATGTAAGACCAATGTGAGATAGGTGATTGATTTGAAATAGGGATATTAACCAAGTTCAAGAGAAGTGGAATGTAGTAAGACTCCTGCTTCATATTGAGAATTCTCCTCTGTCTTCAGTAAACCAAAGTGAGGCAGTTGCACCAGCTATGGCCTATAATTCCTTAAGAATCAGACTATATACCCAGAAAGGCTGTAGCTTTAGACAACTTTGTAGAGAAATGTCTAGTTCATGAGTGCTGTGGCATCCATTTTTGATCTTTTATAAGATGCTATAAAAGATATTCAATGAAATCATTTGAATGCAATTAAGACAGAACAAGGCAATGGTCTTGTAAGTAGCCAAAAAAGTAATTCCCATAGTTGAAAAATATGTGCTTTTCACTGTGATCTTGTATCAAAGAATTTGTCTTTAAAGATACAAAAAAGTGATGTAGGTATGGTTTGTGGGATGAAAACAGGAGTTAGACCTACTATTTCAAGGGTAGACAAACAACAATTAGAATCCCTTAGGACCATTAAACTATAGCCTTTAGGTCATGTTTTTACAGAACAGAAGGAAATCATTTGTGTCACTAGTGCACTAAAGTCATTTGCATTGCATTACCCTGCATATATTTACATGAGTCCTTAGAAAATTCAAATTGCCAGGGCTCTAAGCAACATGAATGATCTGTCGTGCTTGCTGTGCTCTATTCTGAAGACTACAACATAGTGTTCCTATGTTTGTGCCTTAATTATAAGAATTAAATATTTGCCATTAGAAGATGAGTGTGGAATATTTTGTATGTATACTTCATGGTCCTTGCAGATTATTAATTTTTTAATATGATGTTAATCCACTAGTTTTAAAAAACAGAATCTTTAGTTGAGGACAGGGATGTCCTACTACAACTAGCAGAAGTCACATGATCATATTCACATAATTTTTTTCCCTGCGAACCCTCAGCTTTACAAAGATTCTGGACACCTCTTGTTGCCTGAGTCAGCTCTCTTTGGATGACTTGAAGTGTGTTCTTCCAGTTGTACTCCGGGGCAGAGTGTCTAAGTGTGAGGCAAGAAACTAAGACTGAAATGGAATTCAGACTCTAAAGACGACATAGTTAAGTGGTGTGTGTGTGCCTATGTGTGTGTTTTAACAATATGTTAATAATCTATAAAATATATTAACATGTTTATGTGTGTTTTTAAATATAGAATTCTTTTACAGTAAATGTATGTATAATGTTGGTTACTGGAAAGCTTTAAAAATCACATGAAAACTTTAATCCAAAGAAAGATACTGAACGAACAAACCCTTTGGTAGTAACATAAATTTGACTGTCCCTCAGGATAAGTGGGGACTGTGATAAAAGGGTCTGCATGAAAACCACATCACATTGGGTTATGGGGAAAGCTGAGCTTGCTAGAGAGAACTGACTTCTTGATCAAGAATGTGACATACCTAATAGATACCTCAAAATGTTTTGGAACACATCAATTCCTTAGGATTCTTATTAAACGGAAATGCCATATAGTATAACATTAAGCATGGCACACCTTTTTGTTTTTTTTATTAGCACATATTAATTTTCAAGGTTGCTTTACTGTGGCACGTTCACTATTACTATTTCTCAACATCCCTTCTCCCTTCTCTTTCTGAGACAGACTCAAGAGGCTACAGAAGTCCATGAAGCTTCACCAGGCCCTGAAAGCTAAAACCTACGCCCGTTGCTCAAAGCAACATCATCAGGAAAATTTGTTGAGAAGACTCCAAGAGGTGCTGTTGCCCGGGGGCAATGCTCCCACCCGTCAAGCTTTGAGTCCGATAGAGAGAAAGCATCAGGCTTGCACTCTTCCTCATCATCACCTCCTCTACGGTGGGCCCTGCAGGGATGCAGCTGCTTTTGAGCCACTCCCATGCAGGTAAGTCACTCCTCAGTCACACTCGTATAAGTGAAGTCATTCTTTTGGACACATTGAACATGGGTGCAATCATTGCCTTGGTATGTTGCTCGCATCCTCTTCCCTAGGAAAAGTAGCACAAAGTCTTTCCACCTGCCTTGTACTTTTCTTTTTAATTCCTCTTCCTCTTCCCTTTAGCTTCCTTGGGTGAGAGAAAATGTTTTTGTGGGAGAGCTTATTCATGTAGCATAATAACCCCCATTTATTTTATTTACCTACAAAGGATGTATTGTTCTTAGTGGCTCAGTAAAGGTCCACTGTGTAGAATCCCTATTTTCTGTCTTTTAATAGTCACCTAACAAAAGAACCCAAGCCCTTTTACTACAAAGAGGCAAACATTATGTTTTTACTTTTCTTTTCTCTAATTAAGAAATTTACTGAGGTTGGGTATCTTCCCGGCCACTATTGTTTAAGTGCTCTGGGATTAGGTATTGTAAATTTAAACTATGTACCTCAGATGCTTAGGGGAGTCCCCATGGATCTGACTAGGGCTTAACTACAGGGAAAAGGCACATCCCTGGGAGTGGGTCTTGCCTTGGAATCAACTTTCTGAGTCACTTCTATTTGGAATGGCTGGAGACAAATGCACTTCAGTTAGCATATGTTGTTAGTAAAACTACCAGACTTTAAAAAGAGTAAAAATGGACTTGGATTATGAGTCTGAAGTGAGACGTGAGCAGTCAGGAGCACTGTAACCAATTGATACATATTCATGTAAACACATAACTAATGGAAACTAATGTAAGAACCACAAAGGAACCATTTGGCTTAATGTTGGTCCTCTTCCCTTGTGTCCTTTAAATTTCTTCTGCTGGGGACTGCACACACTCTCCCTGCCCCATTTTGATTTTTTTTTTGTATCTCACTGTAATTACATAGGATACTGCTCTTTTAGGCAGAGTGAACTGGTCTATGAAAAAGATTCAAATAAACCTCATAGAAGCAGAGGGATGAGGATGGGATAGCAGGTTTCCGGAGGGGAATCCAGGAAAGGGGATAACATTTGAAATCTAAGTAAAGAAAATATCTAATAAAAATATTTTTAAAAGAAGTATATGACTGGCACAAAAGGAAAAACAAAACAAAACAAAACCTGTGCATGAAGATACCCACAGCCAAACATTAGATGGAGTTCAGAGGAAGGATTGAAAGCCCAGAAGTAGATGGGAACTCCACAGGAAGACCAACAAACCTAGATCTCTGGGAGCTCTTAGAATTTGAGCCACCACCCAACGGACATACACAGACTATTAAGGAGGCCACCAGGCCACTGGCATATATATAGCAGACAGGCAGCGCAGTCTTCATGGCTGCCCTGTCTGGGCTCAGGGGAGAGAGGATGTGCCTAATTTGCCAAAGACTTGATGTGCATGGACAGGGGTTCCTGCCCTCTCATGAAGAAGGGGAGGGAGATTAGGGGAGAGGGAGTGAGTAAGAGAGGGACCAGGAGGGAGAGCAGTGTTTGGGATGTAAACAAATAAATAAATTAATTAAAATACCACCACCACCACCACAACCACCACCACCAAAAACCTGTATGTCAATGTTCATAGCAGCTTCATTCAAAATAGCCCAAATCTGGAAACAACTCAAATATGTTTTTTTTCTGGGGAAAATATTGACCAAAGAATAAACTATATGTTTTACTCTGTATTGTGATGCCATTACAGGACAGCAGAGTGATGAATTTATTATGACCCATATCTCTGGAGCCTGGGAAGTCTGAGATCAAAGCTCTTGTTGTACTCTGGAACGGGCATTCTTGAAGTCATAGCAAGGTGGAAACCATCGTGTTACAGAAGGTGAATGAGATGGAGAGGGAGGGAGGTGTCCTATCAACTTAGAGCAAGAGCATTAATCCATCAAACGAGCACTGCTCTCATGGTCTAGTGCCCCTTAAAAACTTAAAAAACCACAGCCCTGACAACTCAATTGTATTGTAAATTTTAGAAGGGGCAGACATTCAAACCATAGCTCCCTTGGTATATGTGACAATTTAGATGTGCAACAAGAGAGGCCACCTGGATGTAAGCATCTGGTCCCAAAGATCTAACAATGATAGCATCACTGCCATCTCTTTTTGTTTACCTTTTGCGGGTAGAATTAGCACTACGCTTAGTGTCCCTTCAGCCTTAGTTCCTGCTCCAGTGAAGGACATCATCTTTCGGAGGATAGCTCTTCCCAGTGGATAGAACCTTCCAGAAGCCTGTTGCTGTGGTAACAACTTGCTTCTTCATTCACACCCCAACTCACACTCAGATGAACACAGCATTGTCCCAAGAGAATCTGAGGCTGATTCAAGGAACTAGGAACCAGAGACAACAGTGCACACACTCTATTCAGTGAAAACCCAGTGCAGATAAGAATGGGAATGTGTAGAGGAGCATTTCTTCCTCTCGGCAGTAGTGAATGACAGTGTGAGGTCTTTCTTATGCGTAAATTATTCTTCTCTACTCTTACTACACAAGAGGAACAAAAAAAAAAAAAAACACAGGAAATATTCCAATCAATACCACTTTCACTGTTTTCAGGAGTGGAAAGATTTAAACACAATACAACTCTCCCACTCTTTTAGATCTTGTGTCCTAACAAAACAGTGAATATTACCATTGAATTAGAAGGCTTTTTGTTTTGTTTCCTGTTTTAAAGATTGCATGATGATTATTATATCAATATAAAAGCAACCCAAGATGGTACAAATTCTATTTGTTCATGCAGCTAGAGTCTCTGCATTTCATGTTGGCATACTCACCAACAACCACACTGTAGTTTCTGAATAGCCACCACTGCCCTCTCTTGGCCTGCCTGTACATGCAGGCCATCTCTTTCCAATGATTGGCTTGTGCTTCCTATAGCACTGTGATCACATGGCCTATGATGATTCCTGACCAACCCTATAAAATTGGAATTTTTTTATCTTATTCTCAGTGTAACTGATTTGACCTGTTGGAGAAGACCCAGATCCAGGGGTCCAAAGAAAGCAATATCACCTGAAGGGAGGCCAGGCTTTTCTTGGAAGTGAGCAGCTGTGCCTGGTTATTGATGTCCGCCTAGAGATTTTCCAGCCCAACCCAGTTCAGTTCTGGCCACATACAGCCCTCTGGGGCTTCTTGTGGAAGGCACACAGAGAAGTGCTGTCCAGGCTGAACATAAGAAATAAGAACTTGTTGTTGTATGTTGCCAAGTATTTATGTAGTTTGTCATACTGCAGTCAAAAGAGGAAAACCTGCCATCTTCATGACTCTCATGACAAATGTCTCATCCATGTTCACCTGTATTTGCTCCCTAAGAATTCTGTGGATGGAATATATTTGCAAATATATGTACATAGTTTTAGAAGATTATCTGTTTAAATACATAGAAGCACTTACAGCCACCACTATTAATTGTAATGATTAAATAGAGCAATATATTATAACTTCTTTGAGTAGCCAGCTTGAGAAAGGGATTAAATAATTATCGTTTAGAATTGCATATCTAGAACCTAGCATCTAAAGCTAGGAAGGAAGCTCATTGTCAGAGTGGCCTAAATTGGCATCTCATAGCCTTTTAAGGAGGATAGGCCTGATTATTCTAGTACAGTTCAAGAACAGGTCACACACCTGTTCACTTGGTATATCCCGGGGGGGGCTAAATTTTATCAATATTTTTCACTAATAGATAAATATGAACATTTCCCACTCTTAATTATTCTGTAGTTTCATGTTCAACAGGGTCTGTCGGTGTATGTGGGGTATGTGTGTTATATTTGTCAAAGTTGTGAATGTTTTAAGAGAAGCAATGAGCAAAAGAGAGCAACATCATTTCACAATACAGATCAGATGTCACCTACTCCAGATTTGAAAGAAAGCAGACTTATTTCGAGTTTCCCAAAGTGTTGTGCTGCATAAGGGAAATCAGTGCTCATGTATCTGATGAAAGGTCTCGGACTGAACACTGTGGACTGTTCTCAGGCATCAATAACCACAAACTGCTTGGAATAACCATGGCAACTTGGAGCAAGGAAGTACAGTACAATCACCCTGATTACCATGGAATTAGCACAAAACAAATGTTTGTTCTTTTCCTAAGTAGATGCATTGTAATGAGGATAACAGCTCCCTACTTACCTCAGATTTTCTGTTTTCACTGTACCCCAAACAATGGGATGGCACATCTTCTCTGGGTATTATTTCTGATCCCTGCTCACCACCACCACCAATGGGGAACTCAAGATAAGGCAAAGAGGTAGCTGAACTTTCATTCCTCTCCTCTCTTGACTCATTTTGAAATTTAAAAACAAAACAACAAAACAAAGCAAAAAGCATGACCCACATACAGTGTGGCAGAAGATGGAACATTAACATCTAAAACTATGTCTCACAGCTTCATATTCACATGGACAGTCTGAATTTCATGCTACTTGAAATCACATAATTTTGATTTCCTAAGCATCCACAATGCCAGCACTCCCAACTCCCCTGGTCCTTTGCTTACATGATCTGTGAAGAAGGGGATACACTTCAGCCTGGGGTGTTAGTTACCTGCCTCTCTACATCCACTGTGTACACCTGACAAAGACACAGCTAGTTCATGTGTCAGCAAGGAACTCAAAGTCTAGTCTCAGCCAGTCCGATTGCTGGCATTGTGAGCTGTGAGGACAGCTGGCACTCGGCTGTCCCCAAAACCCCTTTCACAGTATCCAGTACCATGCTTCCATACACGATTGAAGCAATTAGCTGCCGCACTGCTGATGTACCCCACAGAGGACTGGTGGCTCGTCTGACACATCTGGGCACTGAAAGTAATTGAAACAGCTGCTTCCGCCCATATGGCAGCAAAAGCTGGTTGTGCAAAGTCTGTTGCCTGGGCTGCACCAACCTCAGGCAAATTAGCCGTCATTAATCCCCAGATCTGACCAGCATACACAGAGCCACTAATCAAGACAGCTGGGGGGTGGGGTGTGCCTGAAGATAAGAGTCCTGAAGATTTCTAAGTGGCATCCTAGGTTAAAAAAAATAAAACATATACACTAGCACAAATTATAGCCTTCCTTGTCCTGATGAGGATGGGCTGTGTCTGTTGTTGCTTCCTTGTTAGGAGGTTGAGAAAATAGCAGTGCAACTTTCTAGAAGTGTCACGCAGATCTAAGCATGGCTGGCATCCCGCAGATATAAATAGCTATAAATAGTTGCATGGAAAGCAGATCCAGGGTATCGCGCAGTCTTGCCGGACTGCCTGGCCCCAAAGCTTAGAGAGGGATGGGGTGCTTCTCTTGGATGATCAGTGGCACCTGACCCAGATGAGAATGAGAGCACAGGCAGCTTTCATTTCTCTTCTGCCCTGTGTGTTGCCAGCTGTGGGAGGGAGCTCCTGACCCCTCTGTTCACTGACCCCTCAGGCAGGGATAGGCCTTTTATTTTGAAACAGAAATTTTAGGTGAAGACTAGCTGTCAGATGCTGCCAAAGAGCCTTGTTGACAGGTGAGAGGTCACACACCATCTGGCAGGTAAAGGGGATCTCATTCATCCCCGACTTGGAAATTTATCGCAAGGCAGACCGCAGTTTTCAAATGGCTACGCTGACTCAACTTCCACTTTGTGGGGTGGGGACAAGCGGCTGTCTAATTTACACCCTAGAATGGGTGTCATTATTCAGATGGCTCGTCATTATGCCTGACAACACCCCAGTGCATTAAGGAGCTGATGTGGTGCATCTGGACAGAGAGCGGTGAAGAAGATCTGTAGCCCAGGGGTGTGAAATTGCTCCTGAGTGACAGAGGTGTAAGTGTAGGGTGGGGTCCATGTTGTGTGTCCCTGTCAAGTTTCTGGCCAGAGAAATAGTTCAGACTTAGGATTTTCAGTCCTTTGATAAATGGGAATTTATACTAGGAAACATATAAGAGAATGTGACAGTGGCTGTATTCATCCTTAATTATTCTGGTTTCAGATCTCATCGCTGAGTTCATAGGAAAATGCCCTCACTCTGACAGAAACTAATCTCTGCCTTATAGATCACCCAGGCTCCTTCTTGGTGTCCCTTGAATTCCTTCTCCTTATTTTTTTCTAGAGAATATTTTTATGTCTTCCCATAGTTTGCCTATGTTGAGCTTTCTTATACGGTAACAGGAAGTGAATGGAACATAACTTTGCAACATGAGTGGTTATTTTCATTGCTTTACTACACTAAGTTTTTCTCCAAATCTTGAGGTCATCATGATGACCATTCACTTTGGCTTCGCTAGTGAATGAAGCAGCTGAAGTAATCTGCCAATATAGCAAAATAGCAGTTTTAACAGAATAGTTACTTTAAAAACATGGCCCAAAATTAACATGGTAGAAAAATACTAACTATACCTTTAAATCCTCCTTATGGTGATTATGGTCTTGTGTGATGAAATTGTCTCTGAATTGGACATCTTTTCTGACAGACATAGTCTTTCTTCTTTAGTTCCATCTTTAAAGACATTTCTTTAAGTGGTCTCGAGTTCAAAGCCCATCTTTTACTTCTTTGCTCTAGCCCCCATGCCATCTTTGTCCTGTTTTGGTTGGACTTCTTTCTTTGAGTAAACGTTCAACTTCCAATATTTAAGAGTATAAGTATTTATTTAAAAATAACTTTAATGCATATTAGTCAACTAATTTAACAAATATTTCTTAAGGGTCTGATATGGGCTTTATACAGCCACACAGAAAATCATCACAGCAAATGCTTACCCTCAGAAGGGTTTCAGTAGAGCAAAAGAATAGAAAGAAGAAACAAAGAAATGAAATCTATGTAGTATGCCCCAAAGTAGTGAATACTAGAAGAAAAATCATTAGAA